AGAGGCAGAGATCTCCAAGGTATTGAAAAAGTCATCAAGAGCTGTAAACAGTTGGTCAATGAAATATGGGTTAGTCGAAAGATTTGGGTTAGCACGCCAAAGGCCTGATCCCTGACGATCCGAAGAAAAGACAAATCGAGCCCGTAGTAGAGCATGATCCGTCCAGGAGGAGTCAAGGAACATAATTTCAGACGAATGTAGATGTTGAAATAGGAAATTAGAAGCATAAAGGTAATCGATAGTAGATTGACCAGTTCGTCTACGATAGGTTGGTAATAGAGGACCCTCTTCCCTGGAATGAGTGCATTCAAAGAGGTGGGTATTGATGAGTCGGTGGAAGTGTCTGTGAATAGCAGCTCCTGAAGTAATATTGTTAGTATCAAGTTCCGGATCATCACTATCGTCGGTCAGATAGGAGGTAGCATGGTAGTTGAAATCGCCCATCAGAAGCATAGGAGAAAGATTGGAAGGATCAGAATCGAGCAAGGTAGATAAAGAGGATAGGGATTCCCGAGAGGTTGAAGAAGGAATGTCGAAAAGGGGCAACGTAAGTAGGTCTCTGAAGAACCGAACTCGGGGTGAGTACTGGGCTGGGGCATAAACATTAAGGAGCGTAAAGGGTGGAAACAACGCATTGGCATGGACAACCTTACAGGCAATGATGCGTTGATCTAGATCTAAGTCTAACGAATGTAATTGAATTAAAGGATTGAATGAAATAATACCACAATGTTGGGTCCATAAGGTGTCATGAGCTTGAAATTGTAAATTGAGTTGATCTTGAACTGCCTCGACTGCATGCGATTCTTGAACACAGAGGATGTCCAAATGTAAGGAACGGAGGTATCGGATGAAGTCAGAGCTAATCTCGGGCGTAGATGCTTTGACGAGATTGCGGCAGTTCAAGGAAGCTATATTTAGATTGTGATTGTGCATAAAAGAATTAGTATTCGTGTCATAATGGGGCATATTATTCGCATAGTTGGGTGATTCAAAGGAAGTAGTACTCATTAGACCAAGGGGGCTGAGACGCCGTCAGCTGGGCTAATAGAGGAAGGGGAGGCAGCAGGTTGGGAAGTAGAATCTTGAGAAGCAGGAGCATCATCCATGTTAACATCATCCGTTGAAGAAGATGAGGCAGTCTTGGATGCCTTGGCAGGGTAGATCTCACGGTAAAATGTTTGATACATAGTCTCGGATATCCATTTACGTTTGAAGCAGAAGTCGCGAGCGACGGCCAATTTGATGTTGGGAGTGTTGAGGCGTTTAATCATGCGGAGCAATCGTTCTTGGTGAATGCGGGCCGCCTCAGACTGCAAAAAGAGCGGATCAGCATGGTTGGCGTACTTGGGATCCCTGAGGATGGTGGGTGCACAAGGGTCGAAGTCGGTAATCCGTTGAGAGTCAGGGAGTTGAGCCATTGCTTCCACGACAGTGGAGGCATAGTCGTTGTGAACTAAGAAACTAATGATGTTATTAGTAGGGTAATGGATATCAAGAATGCGGCTTTGAGATAAACCAAGCACCTGGAAACCCGCACGGACTTTCGAGATGGCTTCACGTCCACGAGAGGTGAAGTACAGGAATTGGTAACCGTGGGTCGTCGAGGGAAGAGAGTAGAACCGGCTAACCTGCTCTAAAGTCAATGGCCGTTTGGCTTTGGCCTTGGGAGCTGGTTTGGTGGAAGTGGAAGCCTTGGGCTTGGATTCCTTGCGTTTAGTAACGGCTGGAGCTGATTCATCCGCTGGTGGTTTGGCAGCCATATCTGCCCATAGAGAGGCTGAGGTGCCCTCGGAGCTCCTTTCGAGCACCGGCGTAGTAGCAGATGGAGGTGTCGAGGTTTGATTGGCAGCCGACTTGAGTTGCGCAATCTCGTGGTGAGCTTTATCCAAAGCCAGTTGGAGTTCCTGGTTCTTTTTGATCAATTCTTGAGTCTGTTTGATCAAAGCTTGGTTCTGTTCCAGTTGTGAGTCGTGAGTCTGCAAGTGAGTGGTGACAGAGGCAAGACGTGAATAGATCTCCTGAATCCAAGTGGGCATCAGGGGAGACTGATGGATTTCGTCTGGTTTAGGTGGGTTCATGCCTTCAAGGAAGGCAGGTGGGTTGATCGCATTAGTGGAAGGCTCAACGACCATATTGATAGTGGAGCTGGTGGGAGCGGTTGTAGGGGCAGGAGCAACGGGTGTTGCAATATTCATAGTGTCCATAAAGTCAGTAGGTGCTTGGCTTCGCGGTGATCTACGTAAAGGTACCGTGGTAGCTTTGATAGTGGAGTGACGCCGCTTCCTAGAAGCAACGGGAAGTTTAGAGGTTCGGTTGCCGGTTGTCGTCTGTTTGGCTAAAGTAAGACGGGAGTTGGAGGTAACGGTAGGTGTCGGCTGGCTTGACAGACCTGACTGGCTTGTTGTAGCTGTGTTTGTTGTCGGTTTTGTTTGGATCTTTACTGCTTGATGATGTTGTTTTCGGGGTTTAAAAGGCCCTAAAAACAATTTAGACGAAAGAAAGGTGCAATAGGAAGCATGCTGTGATTACTGATATTTTCATGATCGAATTTTGCAAAATAGATCAAACAGATCGATTCTGTTCAGAATTTGTCCAATCTTGGCCAAGCAAAATTTTATCGGAGATTGAATTAATTATGGCTGTCAAAATGCTTTTTCATTAAGGTAAGTGATCTTTTTGACGTTATTGAAAAAGGGATTGCAAACCAGAAAGCGCTATAGCCTAGTCTGACTATTTTTTTTTGATAATTGTTGTATACCTTTAATTAAAATTTGCAGTTTGCGCATCCAATGGCTAATTCTAATACGAAATGCCAAATTACCGCCCTGTTCTAGTTTATTTAATCGTTGTAGGACTGAAGCTACTCAAATACACTGACAGGGTATTATTGCTAGTTGAGTCCCATTTTAAAAACGCCAATCGGTACAGTAAGTACTGTAAATAAGCATTTATTTGTGCTCAGATGTAATCACCATGTGCATTATTCGTGTTTCATGGTTATGCGCAGAAAAACTAGAATGGTGCACAAACAAGACTGAGTGGTTAGCTTGACAAATTGCTCTTGTTTGACGTAAATAAGCACTGGTGGCACTGAGCTAATGTAATCAATAGCCAATTTCTCGTTCGGATTGATGGGTGTTTCATAAAGGCATGTATGGATTAGAATCATGTAAATATCTTGTCTTATTGATCCTTTGTTCTCAGGTAATACGCCAATACAAGCGACATTTGGCCATTTTCAGGTTTTGTTTCTCCCTGTTAAACGCAATTTTAGAGTCTCTCAGAGTGGTGCCATAGGCACTTGCTTTGAACTCTTGTTGCAACACAACATCTGAGCTTCTTTTTTTTTGAGGCTTTGGTATGTAAAAGTAAGGTTGCCGCTGTGTAAATCATATGCAATTTTGATATGGTGCATACAGTAATCATGAGTAGTGCTAATAAAATACCCATATGTGAACAGCAGTTGATTTGTGAATAATTTATATTGAATTTGAGCTATTGCACACGAGCTAACTTGATTTCGTTCCAATTTTTCTGTGCCTGAGATCAGTTGATCTGGTGGGAACAAAGAAACTATCATACTCACGACCGATGACCACTCAATTCTTTCGTCATGAGAAAAACGTATTGAAATGCCACAATACAGGGTCTGATCCAGCAGAATTCAAATTTCAAATCTTCAATTACATTTTAGGTTTTAAATTTATGATTACTACTTCAATTTCACTCAAAGTGTAATTTCGTTCATTACAGGTAATAAACAGCACAGTACAAGGTCAAATTTTGATTTATTTACCACACACACACACACACACACACTTCTACCTACTATTTCGTGAGAAGCCTTGGTTCTCTGATAAAATCATTGTCAGCATAAAATTCCAGTGCATAACTGATATCAGCAATTTGATTGTAGTAGTTACTCTCTATTTCAAGCTAATGCTCCTATTACATTTGGCTCCAAATCAACATTGCATCCTAAATATAGGAAGTATACATCTCGATAAACCAAAATTCAACGTCTGCTTTCTGCGCGCTGGATTATGAATAATATTTGGATCACAAGCTTCCAGAATTTTTATGGTTGTATCCACCAGATCTTGGTATCTCCATAACAAGGCAATGCCAATGAAGCCTCCTCCTTTTGGTACATGCTTTTCAGTCACATAAATTTACATTGGAATCAAAGAAGCACTGCTTCTTTTGGCTGTCACCAGCAAGCAACGAAAATTTTTTCGTAACAAAAAAGTATAAAGAGATGTCTTAAGGTGAGCAACATGTTTCTTCACTCTTTAGACAATTGAAAAGGTAAATATCAATCTACACTCTATATATACACATGAAATAAGGTTTCTCCTTCTTCTCGGTGGTATATATCCATGATGAATGCTTTGCCGCCCCAGGCGGAAATGTATACATGTCGATAAACCATGCAGCTCAACCCTTTTTTCTGAAATTTATTATCGAGAAAGAATGAATACCTTATTTTATTGTATTTCAACGATTTATTTTAATTCAAGTCTATTAATCTCTCTTATTCTAGATGCGATTATTTTATAATTCTCAAATCAATAAAATTGTTTTCTCCCATTAAAATTGCGTTTGACGTTGAGTTTATTGATGTGTCTCGTACATTGTGAAGCTTTACGGATTCATTGGTAAGTTATCTTTTTTTTATTTGTGCGATTTCAAATTATATTGTATGATGAGCAAAATACATTCCATGCTAACACGGAGCTCCGCGTGACCGATAACATGTTATTCTATTACTGATTGCAATCATAATTTGAATTCTCATAAAAGCATTGTTTGTATCATTGATTTTTCTTACTAAATAATCTTTCCTTGATAGATTGCTCGAGTCAATTGCAATTTTTCGTATGTATTTTTATCAAATAAACTCTTTTTTTTTCATAATTTCGTCTGATCTCGCGTCATATGCATTTAATAATCAATTTGCGATTCCGTTATTATCATTGCCTTCTTTAACTTTAACCATGTCTTTTCAATATCCTTTAATCCTTGACGGTGGTTTTGCAACTGAACTAGAGAGAAGCTTCGGCAAAGATTTGTCTGGTAAGAGATCCAGATACTTGGTGCTTAGAGTGTGCTTTCTAACCGAGAGTGGGGATAACCAGGTAAATTATGGTCAGCACAGTGTATACAAGATGATCCTGAGGCGATCAAGGTAAGATGTCCAAATATCGCGTCCTTCGCTTCAGTAAATAACGTGTCGACTAGTCTGTTCACAAGTTTTACTATGAAGCAGGAGCAAATGTAGCCACCACGTGCAGTTACCAAGCATCTATGGAGGGATTCATTCGAGCAGGTTACTCTGAGCACCATGCTGTCACTTTGATGCGCAAAAGCGTTTCATTAGCACTGGAAGCGCGTGATGAGTACAAGCAAGCACACCCCAACGACGATCAACAGAGATTGGTTGCCCTTTCCATCGGTTGTTATGGTGCTGTGTTGGCTAATGGAGCTGAATACACTGGTGATTACGATGACATGACATTGCAGCAGCTTGTTCAATTCCACAAGGAGAGACTATCTCTTTTCTTGTCTACGACAACTGAAGCTGATAGCGTGGATTTGGTTGTGTTCGAAACTATTCCTTCTTACCTCGAGGCACAAGCCATACAAGACATTGTTTCCAACTGGGATGTAAAGGACATTGCCCTGCCTCTTGTTGCTGTGTCATTTCAATGCAGATCAGACGACCAAATCGCGGATGGTACCCCTGTGTTGAATGCACTCCAGGTTTTGAATGATGTAGAAGGCGTTTTTGCTATTGGTATTAACTGCACCAAGCCAAAGTATGTGGAAAATCTGTTTGCCACTGTCGCTCAATTTAACAAGCAACATCAAAATGGTAAGGCATTGATAGCCTATCCTGATGGTGGTGAAGAATGGAATGCTGTCGCAAGAAGTTGGGATGATAGTGCTAAATTACCTGAAGAGACATTCGGTTGTATGATGGCTAAATGTGTGCAAGACTATGGACCACGAGTGTTGGTAGGTGGTTGCTGCGGTACTGGCCCTGCTCATATAAAGAACATCAAAGAGTTTGTCAATAAAAAATAGCTATATTTTATAAAAGCTCTCATCAAGAATAAGGCTTTATTTCAATGCAATTGATCATATGGTTGGGGTTGATTTAAGGTTGTCATGCTTTCAATATGGCAATGCATGGCATTAACTGCATCAATGGTAAGCATGCAAGATGCTTTTAAATTTGACTTAATGGTAGACTCGAGTCTGGTTTTCTCGGTATAGTAAAGTGTTCATTGCGAATCAAGCCTACGGCGCATAATTATTTCAAGTTTCTGTATGTATATATCACAGCACCATAGCACATGGCTCTTAATAACATATAAGATATTTCTAAATCAACATATTACTCTGACTGATGATACTATTGTTTTTTGTTTTGTTTCGAGCAATGTATAGTTTCAGCGATATCCCAACAAGTTGGTCAGCTTGATGATAAGTCTCTGTATCGTCCAATATAGTAAATATCAGTATTATTTACAAGCCAATTGCCATTAGTTGCGTGAATATTAAAACAATTAACTGGTGAAGCTTATGATACCATTATCGTGTAAGTTCGAATCAGGTTACAAGTAAACCTCAATGATTAGAGTTTTAGCAATGTCCGAGACAGTGGCATCTTCTATCAATAAATGATGAAGGTGATGACTCTTGAAATAGACATGATTGAAGAAAGTGATGTACATGTGTACTATCACAAACTAAAACGAAATGTAATTTAAAAAGATAGTATTATAAGAGGCAACAAACAAAAGTGCACTATGCACTTATCTATAAAATTGTAAATGTGAGACGCTAAAGCCGGTGTCATCTATGAGATGGCCGGATACTTTGAATTCAATTTGATAGAAAAAGAAATGATGACAAACTTGTGCGTTACTGGTATATATTTAGCAATACAAGCAGAACAAAGGGAATCAGCTCTATACGCAAGCTTATCAGAGGCCCGTCTCTGTGTACGCAAGAGGGAGAATGAAGGAAAGAGCTAAAACAAGATCAGAGCAACAATGACCATGAGTGATTTCAATTGTTGATAGCCATTTAAAGTAGTGATATTCAAATGATTGTCTATCATTCAATCTAAAGTCAAATTAAGTAACAAACAAACTCAATGAATTGGATGACCCATGCGATGATAACTCAATTGAAGAGAGGAGAGATGCGATATGAGGCAGCAAACAAATGAAAGAGAGTTTATCAGTTGTTGTACATGCAGCTTTATTAGGTAAAAAGTAACTGTTGAATGGAAACCTGATAAGCGTATCTTTTTCTCTTAGTTATCTCATATTGTTTGTTAGATCAAGCCGCCCAGAGGAGGTAGGAAAAGAAACATCTTATCAACTTTGTTTGTTAGATTAGCCCTAGTATCACATAGATTTGACTTTAAATCCTGAAAATGACAGAATTTCAATGTCGACATGAAAATATGTCACATCAAATTCTACTGTCATTCTCGGTAATTCCAATCACTTGAGAAACGCATTTTGGACAAATTAGTAAAGTAACCAGAAGCAGCAACACTCTAATATTACTGTTTCAATCTAAATGAACTCTAAAGCAGATCATCAAGCAAATAAATGTATCATGAATGATATCATTGATTCAACTGACAAGTCCCTTGAAGATTGCACAGCAGCAGCATGTAACCAATACGTGTGGAGTATAGCTTGCATATGCTAGAAGAAAAAGAGAGACGCAGTTTGGAAAAAAAAAAAGGACCTTTTGCTCCATGATCCGTCAAAAAAATCAGGAGCCAAGAGAGAGACAAACTCCACCTGGATCTAATGATATAGCAGATTATCATGAGCCAGTCTCCATGTAGTTTTTTTCTGATCCGAAACAACAACCGCTCGATAAACTATTATATAAATATACAAGATTCACCACATGCATGACGTTGTGTGTGTATAAGCAAGCTTTTGGCAGTGAAGAGATAAACCATACAGTAATGTGTAACCTGGTGATAATGAAATTGGAAGATATGCCGAGAATGATAATTGAATCCAAAAAACCTATATAAACTCCAAATGTTTCTCACTCATCCGGTTTTACTGAGAACCAAACAATACCACTACTTGCTTTAGAAATTTTTTCATCTCTCTATATACTCCTTCTTCTTCTTTAAATGTCTATAGTTTACATTGATAATCCACCTCCAAAATATAGAGACCAGTTGAAGAATCAGATCAAGAAGTTTCCAGCGGGAGCAAAATCCTATTTCAGAGATTTCTTTCCTATTGCCAACTGGTTGCCTAATTATAATCTGATTTGGCTGTCAGGCGATTTAACAGCTGCTATCACTGTGGGTACATTGGTAATTCCTCAAAGTCTAGCTTATGGTAAACTCATAGTAAAAATGGGTCGTAGTACATATCAACTTATGCTCTATATAGCCAAGATTGCAAGATTGCCGCCAGTTTTTGGTTTGTATACAAGCTTTATAGGTACCATTTTGTACCCCTTATTTGGTACCTCCAAAGATGTCAGCATAGGTATGCTTATCTCATTGCTTTACAAGTATTTCCAACTGTGCTGACCACATTCAATAGGCGTGAGTGCAATCACTTCCTTACTTGTAGGACAAGTCATTGGCAAACTCATCGAATCCGAGCAATACATTTCAGGCGCATGGACAATGGCCGATGCAGCAATCACACTTAGCTTATTCTCGGGTCTGATCGTTTTAGCTATCGGTGTCTTTCGACTGGGCGCCATCTATCAATTCATATGCCAACCTGCCATTGCTGGTTTTATGGCTGGTAGTGGTCTGACCATTGTCATCAATCAGTTCAACAAAATATTCGGTATACCCAACATCAACACATCTGAAGCACCCTATCTTGTATTCGGAAAGACACTAATCAACTTGCATCACTCCACTGTGGATGCCGCTTTTGGTGTGTCCGCTCTTATTTACCTCTACGGCGTAAAATACCTTGCTCAATATCTCATGCGCAAATACCCTCAACACAACCGTCTCATCTTCTTTTTCAACACCAGTAGAAGTATCGTTGTCTTGGTATTTGGCACTTTATTGTGTTTCATGATCAACCATTTTGGCCAATTTTCAACAAGCCCAATTAAGATTATCGGCGATGTACCTGCTGGCTTCAATCATATGGCTGTACCTGTCGTGAAGCCTGATCTTCTCGGTTTCTTTGCTTCTGATCTCCCTGGCATCGTTGTCTTATTGGTGATGGAACACGGTGCTATCTCTACCAGTTTAGGCAAAGTACAAGATTATAGAGGTAAGCTTCTTGAATCATTTGGAGATGCCAACTTGTTGACTGACCACATCTAAATATAGTCAACATGAGCCAGGAGTTGTTTTCCAATGGCCTAGGAAATGTACTAGGTGCCTTCTTTTGTTCATACCCGGGCACAGGTGCATTTGCTCGCAGTGCTGTCATGTCGAAATCAGGTGCACGCACTCCTTTAGCCAGCTTCTTTGTCGGCATAATTGTGGTTTTGGCCATTTATGTGTTTACTCCAGCATTCAAATACATCCCAATGGCCAGCTTAAGCGCCATCATTGCTCACTCTGTCACGGATCTGATCTTTGGTCCTACTGTTTGGAGAAAGTTTTGGGAATTGAATCCAATGGAACTGCTTGTCTTCGCCTGTGCCTACATCATCGCCTTGTTTACTCGCATTGATATTGCCGTCTATGTCCCTGTCGTCCTCTCTGTCCTCGTGCAACTGTACCGATCTGCTCGCCCTGGATATGCTGTGCTTGGCCGTGTTGATCTCGACCCTGAGCTTGGCGACATTAGAGACGAAAAGCACACAAAGCAGCAAGAAATCGAAGACATGAACGCTGTTGATACATTGGACAACACACTCTTTTTCCCTGAAAACCACCCTATCTTGGGTAGCTACGTGAAACCTGTTGATTCTGGTATTGTCTGCTTCCAACCTCAAGAGAACGTTGTCTTTCAAAATGCTGCCTTCACCTTTGATAAGCTATTCGAAGAGATCGAGCGCACTACGCGTCGTGGTAAACTTCCTGCCGAAAAGATGGGCGATCGTCCCTGGAATAATACTGAAGGCGTTGGCAAAAGCCAATTGAAACCCTTATTGCACTCTGTGGTTCTGGACCTCTCTGGTGTGCATCAAATGGACTACTCGGGAATGGAAGCATTGACTGACGCTGCTGTTGCTGCTGAGCGCTACTCGGGTCAACATGTGCATTGGTACATTGTCACTGGCGAATCCATGGCTGTACGAAAGTCTCTTTTGTTTGCTGGCTTTGGCAATCAACGCAGCGATGGCAAGACACCTGGCCGTTTCCTCTCTGATTTGAGACATGGCGTACCTGAAGACGGTCATCGTCCTGGTGTTGAAGGTTGTCGCTCTTACGACCCCAATGCTGTTACCAACCATGACGATGAAAAGAATGATTTTGAGCAAGTTGTCGTTATCGAGCAAGTAGAAGTACAACAACGCCGCCCTAGTTTCATTCACAAGGCTATGGGCAGAAGCAACCAGAGCTCCTCCACCTTGGATCAAGATCAACAAACTCAAGATTTCAGCACAACACCTTGCAATGATTCTGCTCAATGGTGCTATTGCCACAACACATCTATTGCTCCCAACGTCAGGATTACCGCTGTTCATGACAGATTCCCCTTTTTTTTCAGATCTTTGCATGAAGCTGTTCGTGCTGCCCTGATCGGAAAGGCCATTTCCGCCAGCCATCTCTTGGATAACATCAGTGTAATATCAGATAGAGATGAAACCACATCACCTGGCGAAAGTAGCTCCTCATAATAGCTATTTCCAAGCTTTGTACATAGACTTTTCTTAACCTTTCATATGTACTATTTATTATTTATTCCAATGTCATCTTTAAATATTACATAATACCCAACAAATCTAATCAATACAAAAAATCATCAAGTATTCTTTTCGAATGCAATGCCATTTTCTGCATGATAGAATGCTGAAATAGCATAGGAGATGCTTCTGCCTCTTGAAGCACACCTTACTCTGCTACAGTGATGATGAGCATCGTTGCCATTTGACTTCAAATGTCGATTCGCAATACCAATGTATTAGCTTTAATGGTCAAATGCTATGCTATTGCCCGTTGCCATGACAACCCAGTGTGTATAGGTACCATGTCATAGATCCAATGCTCCACCTTCCAATCTGCTTAACATGATTGATGCTCTTGAATGATGTCTATGAGCATGGATAGAGAGAAAAGACAGTCAAGAGACTCAAGGATTTCCTATTCTAGTATTGGCTGATCCATTGCTCCCTCAAGCTACAAAATTTTAGCAACGTCCATTCTCTAGCCTCTTCTGCCATTCTATCTATCTCCTCTCCATCGTAATCCACCAACTCAACTTTTTGCTTGAAAGACGTCTTTTAGCAGAATCACCCACACGACTTTTCTTCTCAGTACAGTTGAATTAAACGCCATCACAGAGCAAATCAAACATCTCTCATTTGATATTGCATTATTCACCATTGTATAGACCACCGCATTATAAAAGGTACTACGATAAAATATGAGGAGAATGAGTTGCAAGATAAGCCACGCTCTTCTACTCTCTCTTTAATTAACGAGCATCGTCATTCACACCTTTCATCACCTTAGATTAATTGACCATCATGCCTTTACTCAAGCGCAAGCGATTTGCACCTGTGGAGACGCCTGCCTACGACGAAAGTTCAAAGGAATCTAGAAATACGACAGTGTGGTTTTCACCTTTGACCAAAGAGATCTTTACAGACTACTCGTACGTATTTCAATTAGAACGCGTGTTTGCATCTACCCTGACAAGCACATAGTGAATATCTCAAACGCACATCACTCTACAAAAAACCCATTTGGCAATGCGCTTCTTCTGGCAAATCCAACTTGACCTACCAGGAAGCAATGGAAAGCGAGAAGCATGACAAGGATCGTGTGCAAGAAAAGATACCAGAGCTTCTTCAAAAGCGTGTGTTAGAGTATATTCAATTCAGTGAGTGATGCTTTTCTGTGATGAGATGCAATGTAATGTTGACCAACTTGCTTATACAAGGTACTTCTCGCTTGGAGACTATCATTGAAGATGCCTATCAACATTTTATCAACAAATATGCTCCAGGAGAAATCATACATTGCATTTGGGACGACGGCATTGCGTAAAGTACCCATGTTACTATTTGACAGATCAAATGACATGCTAACACCCTATAGTTACAATGCCAAAATTTTGGAAGTAGCAGACAAACCAGAAGAAGATGTTGACGACGAAGATAACGAAGAGTCTTACTACAAAGTGCAGCTTATTGACGAGAATTCAGAAGGCATTGATCAAGAGGATTGTATCAAGATTGTAGGCGGAAGCAAAATAAAGTAAAATGAAGAGAAGATGGCATGTCAATCTAGCGACTAAATGACGATGATCATTCTTGTAGGCGTGATAGATTTGCATTCTCCAAGAACCTGCTTAGAAAGTTTATTAGAGAATATGCTTTCAAAGACACTTACATTGGAGCTCCTTGGGTTGTCAAGGTAATTTGCTTACCAACCCCCCTCAGATCCAGAAACTAACACATCCTGTAGTCTGAAGCCGCCGAGCGATTTGGAATCGATGCAAAACTACCTGAGAAGCTGCAGCTCGCCAAAGATTTTGCCTACTCCAAATCGAGAAAGAAGAGAAAGGACGCTACTGGACCCATCAATGGCTCCGTTAAAGAAGAAGTCGACTCGAACGATGCCCGTAGAATTGAGGCTACACTCAAGTATCCAGTCGAAGATTTGAATGTGCCCACTTATAGAAGAGATCCCAGTGGCAATGGGCCCTTGACCGACATGACACCAGGCACAAAGGGAGCCAGCACCATTGCTCAGAATCCCACTGGCGATATGCCTCTGCGTCCCACGCCCAACTATCAAAGTACCATTCCTGCTGACTGCATTGGCTCATTCTTGATGGTGTGGTCATTCCTAGGCAACTTTTCGCACCCTCTCAAGCTATCACCATTTTCGCTGGATGATTTCGAAAATGCATTGCGATACGATTCTTCCAGCACTATCTTGACTGAGAGTAATATTGCTCTACTCAACGCTGTGATTCTTCAAAGAGACCGTCTCAAAAAGGAGAGTTTGGGCCATGGACCCACTGCGATGGCAGCCAACATTGCTCTTTACGGTGCTGGTTATTTAGCTTCTCGAGCAACAGCACCCGTCGCTCCTCAACCTCATCTTTCCAGCTACACACCATCCAGCCAGTACAACAGTGAAGATGAAGACGAGGACCAGGATGTATGGAAGGTGCGCCAGCCCATTGAAAAGAGAGTCTCAACAGTGGAGAGAGGTGTAGGAAGTACTGCAGTAGAGATTGTAAGCATCAACTGGGATCATGGCACTGTAGACACAGAGGCTGAACGTTATGGATGGGAGGATATCTTGATTGGTTTTGTGAATCAGGTAAGGATGTTATACGGCGGTAACAATGAGAAGGAAATGCTGACATTTGTGAGTAGCTTGCACCTCTTGAGCAACTGCCAGAATTGGATCGCATTTTGAACATGCTGGTGCCTAGCGAAAACTCTACTTTGGAGGAACGTGAAAACGCTTATAGCGCGCTGTGTCTTCGTGACAAAATCATCCTTTTTGAGCTTTTGATCAATGTAGCTAATGAGTCGTTTGTCATCAAGTAAGTTGTTGCCAAGCAGACATATGAAGCAAGGGCTAAACAATGATACTTTCCTAGAAACTACTTGGATGAATGCCAAGATCAATTGACCGAACTCCGAAAGCAAAAGATTGATTTGAGTAGAGAACGCAAGAGAATGTAAGGATTGTCTTGTGCAAGGGTATAGATGCAATTATGCTAATGATTATGATAGTCGAGCAGAGAAACTCGAGCTGGAGGACAAGCAAAATGGAGATGTTCAGGCAGAGAACCATGATGCAGGCGTGGACAGCGACTCTGACGATGATGCAAGTGACAATGAAGACAATGCTCTGTAAGATAGCTCGTGTTCTATGGATGTATACGGTACTTATTGCCTGTTCTACATAGTTTAAAAGCTCAACGCAAAGCAGACCAGCTATCTCGATTGGAATCCCGACAAGAGGCTATGAAGCGTCGTCAAGCTGAAAGAGAGGAGCAGGAAACCAAGAGAATGAAATTGCATCATCTTCAACGCGAAGAACAACGCGCTCAAAAGATTCGCAATGAAGCCCGTAAGAAGCTAGAAGAGGAGGAACGTTTGATGCACAAAAAGGAAGAGCAAGTAGAGCGCGATATGCGTAAATACAGTGTCAACCGAATCAAACCACTTGGGCGCGACAAGTTTTATAATCGATACTACTATATGGATGATATTGGAGGCACACTACTGCATGGATCCGGCAAATTGTATGTTCAAAGCCCAAGTGATACAGATCTCATGATTCTACAAGAGCGTGATGTGATGGAGTCAATCGATGCCAATGCAACTTTACCATGCGGGCGTGGAGGAGGTGTCAAATTCGTATCTCAGTTAATGAAGGAGCAAGGCTTGGTCAAAGAGGCTGAATTTTTTGAAGATAGAGTGGCAAAATTAAAGCAGAATACAGCTAACCCTCTCGACGAATGGTGGCAGACTTATGATGATCCAGAAGATGTGCGTATCCAATGTGTTGTTCAAGTGTATGGCATCTACTAACATCGTTGTCTATAGATACAAAAACTGATTGACTGGTTGAATCCCAAGGGTGTCCGTGAGTTTAGATTGAGACGTGAATTAGAAAAGCAAAAGCATAATTTGATTACTGGCATGAAGAAACGTGTCTCGGTAAGTGCATATTGGGTTAGCTCTTGATAGGTACAATTCTAATTTGAATGTTTAGGACCAAGTGGTTTCAAATAGACGCCATGAAACACTTCAACGTCGTAGCACACGCCATCAAAAGGCAACTCCTGTCCCTCAATATCCTCCTGGATCATGGCAAGCATACACAAACAAACTCGCCTTTCCTTAATCTTTTTTTTTTTAATAATACACGCATATAATCTCTCTTTTCGTACGCACCATCTAATATATATATTTACGCATATACACTCAAATTTAATAAATGCTTTTATACAAAAATATCTTTTTTTGCGCCTGAAACATAGATAGAGTTCTTCCAGAGATAGATGGCTATCAAGCATGTCTTTGAGAGCACGCAAGAGCAGTCCATTGCCCCGAGCGATGAGATGTGTCTATGTATCGGTATACATGTTAATCAATCTTGCATTCTCAACTTGCTCTTTGTAGCATTATATCCATTTCTTATCATTGGCCATACTTGAGCTTGACATCCATATTCAAGATGAAGTTCGTCCATGATTCAGTTCATACTATATGAATCGAGGATATCTCTCATAGTAAATCCAGCCATTGCCAGCGCTCCAGTGGTCAAAACTAGGTTTGCCTTTTAGTGCACGTCGTATGATCTCAGCGTTTTTCTAATTGTACGCCATCTCAAATCTTCCATCGCATGTCTTATTATTTTAAATGGTGTAAATAGCAAAATGTATCCTAAATGTTGACCCTATTCTTCCCTTCGTCCCACGCTAAACTCATGATTTCAACTTTGAGAAGAAACGCTCGAAAATGGGCGGAAAATGCTTTAAGCGCCTTCTTTTCCTCCACTTTCAATGCTACGGCATCTACCCCACAATTTTTGCATTAACCATCGTTGCCATGCAAGCTACAGATGCTTCACTGAGTTTTAATTAAGGTAGTCGTTCCTGGATCTGATCTGAAGGTGGCCAAATGCCTTGTTTAAACAAAAAGAAAGTGTAAAAGAGATAAACAGAATGATGCCTTCCGTTTGTGATGAGACAGTTTACGTCTCAATCTTGTCCTACTCTACATATAAACGGACAGTTCTCAATGACAGACATGTCATGTGACCGTGGAGAAATGGAAACCTTATACTTTCAAGCTGTAACAATCTCGCTTACTACTATTGTGTTGCGAGGGAATCTTTTCATTCTTTTTCTTTTCTCTTTTGTTAATTCACCTGAACCCCACTCTATCAATAATTTATTTAACTTATCATGGCTGCTGCTGCTTCTCGTTCAAACGTTACTCGTCTCCTGGGATTATTGCAATCCGGTGCCAATAGCTGTCCTTGTCACTCTCATGCCCACTCTCATGGTCCTACTGCCGGTGCCTTTTCCAGCTTGTTAAAGTATGGTCGCAACTATGCTAGTGCTAAAGAAACTACTGATTATGCTTTCGAGATGGCTGCCAGTAACATTCGTTTCGGTCCTGGTGTTACCAGGTAAGTACATTTGAGATGCTGCAAGCATGGATCAGGCCGTGTGTATTCAACCTATGCTTATTGTCTAGTGAGATTGGTATGGATTTGAACAACATTCACGCAAAGAAGGTCGCAGTTTATACTGATAGCACCGTAAGTTCAATTTTACATCTCATTCGTGATATTTTTCTCACGGTCAAATATAGATCGCCAAGCTCCATCCTCTCAAGGCAGTGATTGAATCATTGGACAAGCACAAGGTCAACTATGTTGTCTATGATACCTGTCGTGTTGAGCCTACCGATACCAGTTTCAAGTCTGCTATCGATTTCGCTCGTCAACACAATCCTGATGCCTTTGTCGCTGTCGGTGGTGGTTCCGTTATTGATACTACCAAGGCTGCTAGTCTTTACAGTGCTCATCCTGAGGCTGACTTCTTGGATTTCGTCAATGCCCCCATCGGTAAAGGTTTACCCATTAGAAAGAAGTTGAACCCTTTGATTGCTGGTAAGTTGTTCAAGTTAGTATATCATCTTTCGTGTGTCGCTCATGCAAGGAATGACTAGTTCCCACTACTGCTGGTACTGGTTCAGAAACCACTGGTACTGCCATCTTTGATTATGAGCCTCTCAAGACCAAGACTGGTATTGCTCACCGTGCTCTCAAGCCCCTTCTTGGTATTGTCGACCCCTTGAACACTCGCAGCATGCCCTCTCAAGTCCATGCTTCCAGTGGTTTGGATGTCTTGTGGTAAGTACATGAAAGGATGTATATATATATATGAGAACGTGGAAAGTCTTACCACATTTATATCAGCCATGCCCTTGAATCATACACTGCCTTGCCTTACAATCAGCGTTCTCCTCGCCCCAAGGATCCCATTGAGAGACCCGCTTACCAAGGTTCCAACCCCATCAGTGATGTCTGGTCACTTCACGCTTTAAAGATGGTTGTTGAATATCTTCCTCGTGCTGTCAAGGATCCTGAGGACCATGAAGCTCAAAGCCAAATGTTGCTGGCTGCTACTTTTGCCGGTATTGGTTTCGGTAATGCTGGTGTCCATCTCTGTCACGGTTTGAGTTATCCTATCAGTGGTCTCAACAAGAGCTATAAGCATCCTGGTTACAATGTTGATCATGCTATTGTTGTACGTATCATCTAACATAGATACTGGAAAAAAAAAACATTTGCTCATTTACCCTTTTGACTTTATAGCCTCATGGTGTTTCCGTTGCTTTGACTGCACCTTCCGTCTTCCGTTTCACTGCTGCTGCATGCCCTGATCGTCACGTTGATGCTGCTGCTGCCTTTGGTGCTGATCCTGCTCACATCAAGGAATCCATGGCTGGTGAGGTCCTTGCTGAGAAGCTCACTCGTTTCCTCGAAGATTTGGGTGTTCCCAACGGTTTGAGTGCTCTTGGTTACGATTCTTCTTATATTCCTGCTTTGGTTGAAGGCACCTTGCCTCAACATCGTGTCACTAAGCTCGCTCCTGCTCGTGAGCCCGCTCGTGAACAAATTGCCTCCATTTTCGAGAATGCTATGAAGAACTACTAAATTGTGAATTATGATATAACTCACATTTAACTGTACCAAATGTTAATAAAATTTTGCTTTCGGATTTCTCGTTCTTGTTGCTAATTGAATTCTCTTTCCGTTAGCTAATGCTGCTCTTAGTAGGATAGCGACATACAACTGGCCTTAAGTAAATACAAGACTTGTATAAGATCTGCAGCGATTTTTTTTCAAATATTGTCATTGCAAGGGACACCTTCATGAGGCAAAGCTTCCCCAAAAAAAGTATTTGCGCTAAGCAATTGTCCTTTCAATTCCATGATCCCATTTAATCAGCATCGCAATCATCATTGTCATCAACAGAAAGGCATTTGGGTCAGCCAGCAGCAAGCCGCCGCCAAAATTAATTCAAACTCAGTTTATTTTTACTGTTCAAGATTGGACGAATTTTGTTTTTTTCGACTTCTTTAATCTATTTTGTGACATCCGACTATATAAACTGTAATGATCACCCTACGCTTTTTAATACATCCTTGAAGTACTTTTCAAGGCGCTTCCAATGGTACTAATTGTAACAAGTGTTTTGACTGAAATTATTGAGTAATTTGGTAAAATATGAAATGAGGTTTTTAGCGAAAATAGACAGATTTTACGTATGGAAACCTGATAAAATTGGTTTCAGAGGTTGCTTTGGATCGAGAGAAACATTTTGATTCAATATATACCATAGCAAAAATCTTCATTTTCAAGGTGAAAACTGCGATCGTTTGATCTTCGATGAAAACCATAAGGTACCCCTCATGCTTTTTGGTCAAATTTTGGCCATGTTTTTTGGGTCCTCAAAAAGTTGAGCAAAGATGTCAGGAAGTTAGTGCTACTTGAGTACAATTGTTTGGCGTCATTCCGGTGGCTCAGAAAGGTCTACCTGTCAAGATATGAAGGCTTGAAAGTTGTCAAATTTGGCTTTGTTTCATACATTTGCTTGCCAACAGGCACATTTTCGTTTTGATACAAAGGCGTAAAGACATTGTATTCATTAATGTAGATTTGGAGCACGCTGTTACATCCAAATATTCAGCTGGAAATATAAAATTGGGTCGCACTGTTGTATCGCAGTATCATGGCTTAATGATACAGCTCATTAGTGAGGCTATGGCGGCTGTAAGGCACGCTGGACATTTTAGACGCAATGGGTAGGATGCATCTAGTAAAAGCTATGCTATAAAAATAGCTCAAATATAGGCGATCCATAACTCGGTGGCCGTATGATATCCGTAGTAGTACAATAGTGAAGATGGTAAAGATGGATGGTGTAAATATCAATGCACCACTAGGGCGTAGCCGACAAAAGGGACCTTACCAATTGTGTTTAGCCAACAATATCATTTATATACTTTCAAGAATAGATGCAAAAAGGTAAGCGGCATGGAGAGTAGACGAACATAACGACCTGTCTTAGGAAAGAAAAGTGCTACTTTGGTCGATATGGCAAATTTAAAGAAAGGTGAGTTTTCAGACGCGCCATAATTGAGCGCATTAGATGAGCAGGTGTTCAACAGTATGATAGTCAGCACCAAAGCAAAGGGTACAGGTGGAAGATGAAGTCTTGTCAGGCCTAGCATGGAACATAACACTGCAGGAGGTAATCTTGTCATGTAACAGTTGATACCATAGGCTTTTATAATTGAAAGACAGGGAGACAAACCACAATTTATGCCAAATGCATTTGGGTACCCAAGAAACCGAGGAGAACTTGATGGGAGCAGCCAAGAGAGAAGCCTGCCGGTTAGTCTCAGCGGTACTTATACGATAAATCTGCAAAGTGTTTGCAATGGTGATCATGGCACGATAAATACCGGCTCAAGATAACGAGTATGAGAGCCTTTGGTGGCGCAACAAGACTAAATAAAGAAAATATGGAATCTTTGGAAGCAAGCAGAGCAGTATGGAAGCAGCATGAGAGTAAGGAGCAGCAATTCACAGGATCAGCACGATTTAAACGAGACAGAAGGCGCAGGAAGTTGGTGTCATAGGCGTAGCAATTTTTGACTAACAACTGCTTATAGGATTTGGTAGCGATAGGGCAAAATGGCGATTGAGAAAATCAACTATCATTGATAGGACGTATCATATAGCCCTAGGCGAGCAATTGGAATTTGCGGCCGGCAGACACAAAATCGTATATATCCTTTCGCAGAACAATTGAAACAAGAGTTCCAGATCCCATCAAAAGTACGCAACTAATCTCCTGTTTCAACGTCCAAATAGTTGGATAATGTAACGTAAACGAAACGTGTTATGTACTTTGAATCTATTAGATACCAGGAAATTTATACTATTATATACGATTTAGGCTATACAAGAGTGATCCTATCAGAAATTATAAGCCCATCTCCCAAGAACATAACGCATCTAATTCAAGTAATTTCTTGCCTGCTATTAGACTGTGTTTTGAGTGATTTGTGTTTTGAAGGCAACATTTGGTAACATTGACTTTAAGAGGGGTTTACCGTAACGAATCAAATGCGCAAAACCATAGTAATCAAGCAGTATATTTGGCTCCTCAATTTCATTATTAATAAGCTTACCAACAACCTAACGCATCAAAATTTGCATGAATTAGCCTTACCAAAATCAATATACCTTTTATTCACTTAGGATTGCACTGGCCGCAGAAATGCCCTTCCTCCAGAAGATTTCAGCTACCAAGGATGCGCTTCATGCCGTGTAAATATAAGCTATTATACAGCAAAAACATAACCAAATTTGACAACTTTCAAGCCTTCATATCTTGACAGGTAGACCTTTCTGAGCCACCGGAATGACGCCAAACAATTGTACTCAAGTAGCACTAACTTCCTGACATCTTTGCTCAACTTTTTGAGGACCCAAAAAACATGGCCAAAATTTGACCAAAAAGCATGAGGGGTACCTTATGGTTTTCATCGAAGATCAAACGATCGCAGTTTTCACCTTGAAAATGAAGATTTTTACTATGGTATATATTGAATCAAAATGTTTCTCTCGATCCAAAGCAACCTCTGAAACCGCTTTTGTGCGGCCTTCATATGCAAAATTTCAACATTTTGGCCAAAAAACTCATTTTATATTTTCGTAAATTACTCAATAAATTTATTAAAAACATCCAACTTACTTGTTACCATTAGATGCGCCTTGAAAAGCACTCCAAGAAAGCTTAAAGAAACATAGGGTGATTATCATATTTAACTTAGTCGAATCTGCAAAAATAGTTCAATCGAGTCGAAAATCTTCCAAATTTGGCCAATCTGGAAGAGACTATGAGTCTGGGTTTTAATTAATTAATTTTTTTTTTTTTTTTTTTGTAGGGGAGTCGACTCCAGGTTTTATTTAAAGTCGATTTTAATTAATTTTGGCTGGTGAGGCTAATAACTAATCATATATGAGCCAGGCCTGACAGATGCTTGGAAACTCGGTTTCCATATTAGGGTTGTAAAAGTGCCTAGGGACTGATCATTTATTATAATGTGATACAGATTCCCTAGGCCATATCTTTGACATCAATGGCATCTTGTTGAGAGAATGTTTATGACTCATCAATGTACTAACTATGCCAAGTGCGATTTTCTTCAGTTTTCACATTGCAAATATAAAACAAGAGTTAGCTTTAATGAATATTTTTATTAGCGTTTTACGAGAAAAAGATCAATAAATCATGTTGATATAATCTCTACATGAGGGAAGGGGGGCAATTTTTTTTTTTTACATAGATCTATTTTTTTTGGAAATAATATTTTTACACAGAATTAATTTACATCATACCACCCATTCCACCCATACCGCCCATACCGCCCATAGGCATGGCAGGAGCAGCAGGGGCCTTGGCGTCAACAATCATGCATTCTGTTGTAGTAAGCAAAGAGGCAACACCAGCGGCATCAACAAGAGCAGTGCGGACGACCTTGGTGGGATCAATGATACCACGCTCAATCATATCGACGTATTCATTTGTAGAGGCATCGTAGCCAAAGTTGGAGTTACCAGATTGATCTTCCAAAATCTTACCAGCAACGACGGAACCTTCACCACCAGCGTTATCGACAATAGTTCTACAGGGTCGTTGAATAGCTTGACGGATAATGTTGATACCGAGTTGTTGGTCAAAGTTGGCACCCTTGACATCCTTGAGAGCATTGGCGGCCTTCAAGAGGGCAACACCACCACCGGGAACGATACCTTCCTCAACAGCGGCACGAGTGGCACAGAGAGCATCATCGAATCTATCCTTCTTCTCGCCGACCTCAACTTCGGAGGCACCACCAACACGGATGACGGCAACACCACCAGAGAGCTTGGCAAGACGTTCTTGGAGCTTCTCCTTTTCATATTCAGAAGTGCTAGGATCTTCAATAGCACCACGGATTTGTTCACAACGTTGAGTGATAGCGTCCTTGGAACCAGCACCGTTCAAGAAGACGGTATCTTCCTTGGTAATAGTGACGGAACCAGTGGTACCAAGGAGTTCAGGGGAAGCTTTGTCCAACTTGATATCGAGTTCGTCAGAGAAGACGGTAGAGTGGGTAAGAACACCGAGATCACCCAAGATGGACTTGCGGTTATCACCGAAACCAGGGGCCTTAACAGCAGCAACTTGAATTTGACCACGGAGCTTGTTCAAGATACAGGCAGCAAGAGCCTCACCATCGAGGTCTTCAGCAACGATCAAAAGAGGACGACGTTGAGTAGCAGAGGCTTCGAGAGCGGGCAAGATGTCTTGGAGCAAAGAGATCTTCTTTTCAGACAACAAGATCAAGGGCTTTTCGAATTCAACCTTTTGGGTCTTGGTATCGGTGATGAAGTAGGGAGAGATGAAACCACGGTCGAAACGCATACCTTCAGTGACCTCCAACTCATCATCAATGGTCTTACCGGCCTTGACAGTGATGACACCTTCCTTACCAACACGCTCCATGGCTTGAGCAATCATACCACCCACATGCTTATCACCGTTAGCGGAGATAGTAGCAACCTAGTAATGATGATTATCAATACACCAATGCCAACATGTTGCATGACTCTTAAACACTTACTTGAGCAATTTCAGCAGAGGTAGTGACAACCTTGCTGTTGTTCTTCAAGAACTCGAGGACATTGTCAACAGCGAGTTGAGCACCACGACGAAGATCCAAGGGGTTACAGCCAGCAGCGACGTTCTTGACACCTTCAGTGAAGATGGCACGGGCCAAGACGGTAGCAGTAGTAGTACCATCACCGGCAATTTCGTTTGTCTTGCTAGCAACGTCTTGAACGAGTCTGTATTCAATTGATGTGAGTTGGATTTTTTTCTCACGCTTCTGACTCTACATTGTACGTTACCTAGCACCCAAGTTTTCAAACTTGTCTTCCAAGACGATAGACTTGGCAACAGTGACACCATCCTTGGTGATCTTGGGAGAGCCATAAGGTTGCTCAATGAGGACATTGCGACCCTTGGGACCAAGAGTGACAGCAACGGCCTTGGCGAGGATATCAACACCCTTCAAGAGACCAGCGCGACCATCAACACCAAACTTGATTTCCTTGTGGGTAGAGTAGAGACGGTTGAGGATACCAGTAGTGCTACGAGTACGAGTAGATTGAAGTGCCTTGGCAGCGAGTCTGTTCATTATTGCAATAAAGATGAAGAAGAAGAATAAAGAGCAAACGAATTTGATGGGAAGGGGGCCTGAAAATATAACATTTTGACATCCAGGCATCCCCCATTGGAGATGTCTACTCGCCCCAGTCACGAAAGAGATGGTTGTTCAAGCGAAACTTCAATGGAATAGACCAATAGAAAGAGCACAGAATCAACTGGAACTTTCTCCATGCTTGGAGAGGTTCCCAATCTGCTTTGTCAATGGAGCCATGTTTAAGGTTTTTCCTTTTTCTCTGGTGCGAATGTGAGAAATTTGCGTCCGTTGGATGTTGAGCATTGAAGGCATCTAATTTACTACTCTCAATGTACAGCCAAGTGAACTCTATGCCTAGAGCAATGCTAGTTGCCATTAGGCATGTTTCACATTCACCGTACAAGTGATCGATTTGGGTTAGGGTTTCTTGTAGCCTGTCTCTCATTTTAGTCTGAAGCCCATGACATATTCACCTAATCATTGAGTTTCTCATAAAAAGGACAATTTCTTGCCTAGTTTCCCTCTTTCTCTCTATATAATTGAATGTTTGCACCATGTCTCTGGGAGATTGTGTCTCATCGCCTTTCCTTCATGCCGAGCTTATAAACTCCCCAAGTCAGTATTCGAAACTGGATAGCTATGATCAAAAGCAAGAATTAGAAAACAAGTTTTGCAGAGACTTTGCATGCTGTGGATTGCAATTGAACAATTTGCACCAGTTGCTGGAGCACTACGAAGCGTATCATTTGGCCCACAACAACAATCATAGTAACAACAGCTGTAGTGAGGATGAGGACAAGGACCAGCTGCATCTCAAATCAGTGATCGCTTTTGATCCAATGCAAGCCGAATCTTTCATGCAATATCATAATACACCTCCTCCAAAGAGACATTTGACCACTGTTGATTTAAACATGCTAGAGAATGCACAGAAATACGCATCCAGAACCAAAGTGCAGACCTTGGGCACCATTGTCGATGGATTGCATACGCCGAGTCTAAGTCCCAGTGAAAGCGTAGTCTCTGTAAGTCAGTGCTTTGAGCAGGAAGCGAATAACACTGGCACTGCAAAGATTTCAAAGAGTCACCATGATGGTGAGTAATAGCATTAAGCACTAGTGGGCGTATCGTTGGTACTAATCTTGAAGAGCAGAACACATTGAAAAGCCATATCGCTGTTTAGTAGAAGATTGCGACAAGGCTTACAAGAATGCCAACGGCCTCAAATACCATCGATTGCATGGCCACTGTCCACCTTCTGAAGGTAGCGATTCATTGGATGCCAACAAACCTTATATTTGCTCGCTTGGGAACTGCAGAAAACGATACAAGAATCTGAATGGTCTCAAGTACCATATGGAGCATACTCATATGATCAAGATGGCTAGCCTAAGCTCAGACATGTTTTTAAAGAACGATACTGTCTCACCATCACCATCTACTACTACAACTACCTCGACGCCTTCGCAACAAGGAGAAGAGCAGCCGTCAATACCGTACCATGGTCTCAAAAGAAGACTGTCGTCCTCATCATTATCATCTGCATCTTCATATCAAACTTGTTTATAACTGTATCTCTTGTATATATAAAATAAAATCCGTGTGTAAATACGATCTGAACTCTGATGTAGGCTTACCCAAGTCAAAAGGAACATGTCCTATGACGCTGGCGATGTGTCATATTACTGTCTTGATTTCACTAAATACGTCTGTAGTCTGATCTGTAAAAGCAGATATGTCAAATGTCAATTTTATTGCAGATCAAATCAATCAAAATGCATTGATCATGTAATGAAACGTAATCCCAGTGATGGCGATGAGAGCAACCACAGCAAAGTGCAGATCAAGATCCATGGCCTTCAGTTTGGACATATTTCTTGAACTCTCGTATCTGTGGGAGGAGATGCCATCTTGAGCAACAAACATATGCTCCTCTGTAGAGAAATAGGTGAGTATTTCTTGCATAGTCAGTAGCATCAAGCAAATGAAACTTACCAATCAGATCAGCAGCGTATGATTTTCTACGATGGCCAAATTGAGCCAAAATTTTCATGCGTGTTAAATTCCTAGCCACATAACCATCTGCGTCAAACAAGAGCTCGTCGAGTTGAGTTTTCAGCAAATCAAATGTACAGTCGCTTCTTTCGTGCACACGAGCCACACCTGCCACAGTGAGAGCACGGCCTACAAGTCGCTGATCGCCCACAAAAGGATGCACCATCAGAGGCACCCCATGGAAAGTCGCTTCATTGGCACTGGTGGCTCCTCCATGGCTGACAAACAAGGCTGTTGATGCATGCTCCAACACAGAGAACTGATTAGCCCATGATGGCGTAAACACATCTTGCGACAAGTTGTTCTTGAATAAAGGCGCAGGCAAATCAAATGTAGAAGCAGTGGTTGTAAATTTCCATATTGTATTGGGGTTCTTGAATTCATACTTGGCCACTTGTTCCTTGAGACCCACCCAAATGATGCCATCCAGTTGTTTGCGCTCCACCTGATCCAGCAAAGAGCTCATCAATAGCTCAATCTCCGGTTTTCGTGGCATTACATACTGGCCAAATGCAACGTAGGCAATTCTTGAATGCGAATCCAGAAACGCTTGTTCCTCATGGCTCAAGGGCTTTTGTTTCGAGGTCATGACGGGTCCCACCATGTGTGTCAATGGCCCTAGCACCTGTGGCGGTGTGAATCCAAAATAAGAGTTGATAAGCTTGAGCCCATTATCCCATTGCTTGAATCGATTCAGCCCCAATGCAGAAATACCAAACTGCTGACGAAGTGTATCCAATTCCTTGAGTTCTGGGTAGAGGTAGTAGAGTGTCTTTAGGAAATCAATGTATTTGTGGTGAAATCGTTGCCATAAAGTCATGTTCTCGGATGTAGCGTGCTCTGTCGTTCCCAGACCGTTCATGTAAGGGACGCTGATGTCCTGATGGAGGATGCCAGAGCAAGTAATTGCGAATGGTGTTTTGAATTGAACAGCAGTATCGATACAAGGATCGTCGAATGCGTCACAGATAAAGAAATCAGGCATTTTATGGAGATGTTGGCGATAAAACCTCATTTCCTCGGTGTAAGCACCGTTTAAAAGCTTGCGCACCATTTTAGCAATGTCGTAAAAAGGCTTGTTCAGCAGATCGTCGGTAATGGCTGATGGATAAATAGCCCTGCCAGCAGATACAGCCTTGATCTCTGGATACGAGTCTGCCAAATGCAAGTGGTCATCTCTTGTCACGTAGGTCACATTGTGGCCACGACTAGCCAGTTCTTTTCCAATCTCCAAGACCCATTTCGCATGCTAACGCCAGTGTTATTGATGGCACATGGATAGCATATGCTACACACTTACAGAAGAACCGCCTATGGAGATTGCAATGACGATGTTTTTAGACTGACGATCAAATGTTACATCTTGTTTGTCTAGGTTGAAATAAGCTGGATGACTGGTAACCGTATCTAGGTGTATGGAGGAGGAGCAAGCGACAAGACTTGCTGCCAAAACAAAACTAACTGCAGCTGAAAGCAACATGGAACAATGAATAAAGCATTCGCTTTCAAAGGATAGACTGCCACTTGGCTCATTTATACATCGTTGTATTCGGGAATAGCAAAAGGCATAACGCTCTCCATCATGCCGTATTATATAGAATTTTATTTTTGTAGATAAAGGAGGGGGGGATGTTGTTATGAAATAGGCTGAAATGTATTTACAGGTTTCTGTTAGCTTCTCTCTGATTAATCTTTCTTTGTCTTGCTCTTGATACGAGCTCAAATAAAGACTTTCCATTTTGTGCTCTTGGGTTATCTCTTTCGTTTAAAAAGTAGGCCAATGTACCAACAGTAAGGGAGAATACAATATCACCAGACCTAGCGACTGACATGAGTTTGCGCTTCATTCAATGTTGTATACACATTCTAATTTTACCTTGAGATAAGATACTGATATCTTATAGGGGCTGACATGGTTTCTTTTTGATGATATGGAAAAAAAAAAGAGATTACTTGCTACTAGTAATACAACCCGGGGTTTGCAAGCCAACCACGGAGTTGGTGTGATTACGAAGGAAGGGGTGTAGCAAGCCACTTTGACTTGTTGCATGATCGAATATCTCAAAAATGGCAATAAATTCTTGTTTGGAGATGGTATTCAGGTACAATGCAATGCTGTGTTCCCGGTAAAAAAGTGCTAATTAATGTGCATATGAGGTTCAGATGTAAAATGGTGGCACCGAAAAGACGGTTGAAATGATATCATATGTATCGGCTTTTTACTCATAGTATATTCCATTAAGCAATAGAATTATTAGCTAGGATTTAGGGGCTCTACACAAATAAGGGTAGGTTTTATGATCAATGGCATCATATAAAAGCTCGTTAAAGGCTTTTGAAAAGCAATTATCAATGGGATGTATAGATCATTACATTTTTCTTGTGGTGGTACACAATGAGTTCTGATCAATTCGGCAGATGGCTGCTTTCAATGAAAAAAGCAGCTTCAATACTTGATAGAAGCTTCAGCATCAAACGATTCTATGGCTAAATCTATGCTACTGAAGAGACAAATTGTGCGTTTATTTTCTGACGATCCCTCGATTCTTTCCTGTTTTTGGAGATTCATCTGAGCTGGCTGTTGAGTCCTCTTTGACCATACTGCAAGAAAGAGCTGTATGGTTATTGCCGTATACGAAGCTGTCTTCCATTATTGCATCAGTCAAAATTTGATCTTGTCGAAGCTTTCAGGCATCAATCTCTGTAAGAAAGTGGCGATAATAGCTAGACGACAAGCATTAAAATTGAGATAGATAACGTATCATCAAAGAGTTGATTGCTGCCATAAATTTTGCTACAAGTTGAAATATAATGGCCCATACCGAGAGTATGGACACCTTCCAAGGCAACATGAAGAGTGACTCCATCAATGATTTTGGCTGCTTTGATCTGCAATTGAAGCTGATTATATTGGCAAGACCTTGCTGTGATGTGATGGATTTCAATACCTGCTGGCAGTAGCGTTGATTGATATTCAAGTGTTTTTTTCTCTCCAAAATTTTGCTTTCTTTTTCTCCTTCACTAATTCTTGTTCACTAGGCTTGTTCTTGCAAGAAAACACATCGCATGCAATGCTGTATGAGAGAACACAGTCGAACTTGAGCTTATTTACTGAGTCCTTTGATGGCCAAACCAATATATTTAGATTAGGAGTATTGGATATGGCAAACTAATTCTGCCTTACATCTTTGTCACATATGCAGTTTTTAATGTGGATCAGTATCAGATCAAGCATTATTCTCAGTGTTACCCAGTGACTGTTTACCATGCTTTTCAGGTACAAGATCTCTTCATTTCATCTGCAATTACAGGGTGATAAAATACACAATGGGTAATATTATTTTAGTAACAGTATAAAATTATATTTTACTGTCTAAATGTGAGCTTTATATTATGATTCCTAATCGTCTACTTGTAGTATTCACTCATTGACAAATTGCATAAACTACATGATGTGACTGAAAAGGATCGAGTGGCGGGGCCGTTTTTCTCCTTGATTGGTATGCTTCGAAAACTTTTTTTTTTATACATTCATCATTGATACATCCCATCTGACTTATACAGTAAAATGTCTGACCAAGAAGTAGTTACTCCCCAATCTGGTCTCTTCACCTGTCTTGCATGTCAAGTTGCTTTCCAATCCGCTGAAGGTCAAAGAAATCATTACAGATCAGACTGGCACAGATACAATTTAAAGAGAAAAGTTGTGAGTCTTCCTCCTGTCACATCCGAGCAATTCAACAGCAAAACTGAAGGTAACTATATACCAAAAACTGGCAGCGTATATGCTAAGCTAATCAATGCTCGATTGAATAGCTCGTGAGATGAAAGAAGCCGAAGTAAAGAAGGTGATTGAAACAACAAACAACTACTGTCAAACCTGTCGCAAGCCATTTGGCACCAACAACCAATATGAGAACCACATGCAATCAAAAAAACACAAGGAAGTTGCTGCCAAACAAGCATTGAAACAGCAACAACAAGCAGAACAACCCAAGAAGGAGGCTTCAGTTCAACCCAATGCTGAAAAGCCAGTCGATTTGAGAATCACAGAAGAAACAACCGAAGAGGAGATGATGGCTATGATTGATGAAAAGATCAAGATCGCACCTCGTCTTGAAGAGACAGACTGTTTGTTCTGTAACCACAAAGCAGAGACATTCGAAGACAACATGACACATATGACCAACACGCACAGTCTTTTCATCCCTGATATCGAGTTTTTGGTTGATTTGAGAGGATTGATCCGCTACTTGGGTGAAAAGATCACAGTCGGTAATGTGTGTATCTTTTGTAACGGTAAGGGCAGAGGCATGAGATCGGTGGATGCCGTCAGAAAGCACATGGTAAGTACTTGTTAGTTTTACCGGGTAAAATGCAGCCAATTTTAGTGACACTGCAAATAAATAGAGCGACAAGGGACATTGCAAAATTGCATATGATGAAGATGATGATGCTGCTGAATTGGTTGATTTCTATGATTTCTCTTCATCTTATCCCCAAATTGAAGGCGATGATGAAGAGGTGGATATCGATGCAGAACTTGAGAACCTTACAGCATCGTTGACATTAGCAGACGATGAAATGTCTTTGGTATTACCAAACGGATCTGTAGTAGGACATCGTCATATGAAGCGTTACTACGATCAAAAATTGAAGCCAGAAGAGGTAAGAAATGATTAAAATGGGCAATTTATAGATCAGATAAACTAATATGGACATTTTATATCTTAGACACGAGATTCCATTCTGATCAACAAGCTTATCGGTCAATATTCTGAATCACATGCCTTCGAATCCATGCGTAACTCCAGCAACAACAGATTGCTGATCACTAATGGCAGACATGGTATGCGCACCACAGAGGCATTCAAGGATCTCCGCACACAACACGAATATACCACAAAGGTCGGTATGAATCAAAATAGACTCCAAAAGCATTTCAGAATCCAAATTATTTAGTTTTTTAAAATTCGCAATAAATCGTATATATTCCATATCATATTTTAAATGAACTGCATTTGCACTACCACCATTTTGTCAAACGTCGGTCGCTCTTTATATATGCATCGTCGCACAATATAAAGCAATTTAATTTACGTATTAATGCTTAGAACCCATGATAACGTCTTGTAATTGAGTGTAATGCATTGTGTGTGCTTTCCTGAAGGCTTCCACAAGAAAGACTTATACTATATTCAGTTAAAAGTTGTCAAATAAAGAAATACTGTTTGAATATGGTAATTGTGTCGACTAGCTTGTCAATCGTTCCTTTCAATTTTATATAAAAGGATGCCGTTCAATGCCTCCAACTCTCATTTCAAACCATTCAAATTAAACTACCTCTTTCCTCTCCCTCTTTCTTTACTCAACCTTTCAAATGAAATTCTCATTAGTCTCTTCTTGTGTTGCTCTGGTTGTCATGACTCTGGCAGTCGATGCTGCTCCCAGTGGTAGCAAGAAGCTTTCCATTCCTTTGTCCAAGAATGAAGATTACCAACCCAACATCAAGCGCTCCATTGCTAAGGCTCGTGCAAAGTACATCAAGCACATCATCAACCCTCTCCATGGCGTCCCCGCTAATGCTACTGCCAACGGTGGCAACACTGTTGATGGCACCGGTTCCGTTCCCGTTACTGATTACGAAAATGACGTTGAGTACTACGGTACTGTCCAGGTCGGTACTCCTGGTCAATCCCTCAAGATCAACTTTGATACTGGTTCCTCTGACTTCTGGTTTGGTAAGACCGATCATGTATAAAGTGGAGTACAAAAAATTTCATTATCTAACCCCAAATATGATAGCTTCTACTTTGTGCTCTACTTGTACCACTCACACTCGTTATGACTCCAGCAAGTCCAGCACCTATGCCGCTGATGGTCGTTCCTGGTCCATCCAATATGGTGATGGTTCCACTGCTCGTGGTGTCTTGGCTAAGGATAACGTCAACTTGGGTGGCCTTGTTATCAAGGGTCAAACTATCAATTTGGCCAAGCAGGAATCCAGCAGTTTCGCCAGTGACCCTATTGACGGTCTTATGGGTCTCGGTTTCGATACTATTACCACTGTCGGTGGTGTCAAGACCCCTGTTGACAACTTGATCAGCCAAGGTCTGATCTCTTCTCCTGTCTTTGGTGTCTGGCTCGGTAAGGCTAGCAATGGTGGTGGTGGTGAGTACTTGTTTGGTGGTTCCAACCCCAAACGTTATACTGGTTCCTTGACTACTGTCCCTGTTGATAGCTCTCGAGGCTGGTACAGTATCAATATCAGTGGTCTCAAGGTTGGTACTACCTCTGTTGCTAGTTCTTTCGACGGTATCCTCGACACTGGTACCACTCTCTTGCTCTTCACCCGATCTGTTGCCAACAAGGTTGCTGCTCAATATGGTGCCACTGACAATGGTGATGGTACTTACACTATCGGCTGTGACACTTCCAAGTTCAAGCCTCTTAACTTTACCATCAATGGTGCTCAATTCCAAGTTCCCGTCGATTCCCTTATCTTCGAGAAGAGTGGCTCCACTTGTTTCGCTTCCTTCGGTTACGCTGGCCTTGATTTTGCTATTTTGGGTGATGTCTTCTTGAAGAACAACTATGTTGTCTTTAACCAAAAGGTGCCCCAAGTTCAAATCGCTAAATCCGTTTAATTTGGTACATATCATTTTAGCTACTTATCTACTAATGAGTTAATTATGACTATCTATTCCATGATTCTATCTAATAAATCGTCATCTTAATATCTTGAATTCGTACTCATTTATTACTGATACCGTACATCTAGATTTACAAGATTAACTGCTTTTGTCAATCAATATACATAGCTGCAAATATGTTACATCTGCATTTATGCAGGTTTAATATAGAAATACACTAGAACAAAAACATTTGCATGTGATCTCCTATTAAGCAATCTGAACGTGCTTGCCATTTTCAGGGGAAAGGGGAATTTGCCGGAACAAACAACGCGGGAAAATGTGCAACAAGACGCTTTAATTTGGTTGCTTGGTCATATTGAATCTGTATTTAAGAAAATAGGTCTTATTTGGTTCACAAAACTTTGCAAATCTTGATCTACAGAATCAATCACGAGAAGACATAGGCCATTTTATTCCAAAAAAAAGTATTCCTACTATCAATGAAACACATACTGCCTACATGCCATGTTGAAATGCTGCAAATCATAATTAGGAAGCTGCAATTACATATATTTTGGAGGTAATCCAGGCCGGCTAGCGTTGCCAGATATAAAAATGCCCAAAAAAAGCAAAATAAAGTGTTTAGGCTAAGCAATAGTCCTTTCAAATTCATACAATCCCCATTTAATTAGCATCCCAATTACCAGAGAGGCATTTTGGTCAGCCAGCAGCGCTTCAAAGCAGCAAAAATAAATTAAAGCTCAGAATGTATTATTTTTTGCTCAAGATTGGCCAGATGTTGTCTTTTTTCGACTTGATTGAACTATTTTGCGAGATTCGACTATATAAATTGTGATGATCAACCCCTACTTCCTATTACAACGCCCCTGGTGGTAGGGCGAAGTGGTAAAACTCCCGTATGCCAACGGGAGGATCCCGGTTCAAATCCTGGTGAACGCAAGTTGTTTGATTTTTTTGAGGTAGTACTGATGTCCTCGTTTGGTGTTTTGTACTCTATCCATTATCTATATTTTGACGATTTTCCGCAAGACTGTATTGGCTCTAGGAGTCGCACCTTATTAGTAGTAGATTTCTTTCCCAACTTAATTCAAAAAATATCTTATTCCCCTTCTTTGCAGACATTGGGTCCACCAACAGTCTTTTCTATCCCTCAGCATGACATTTAAAGGACTTTAAATAAAACCTGGAGCTCGACTCCCCTACAAAAACTACTTCCTATTACACTCTTGGAGTACTTTTCAAGGCGCTTCCAATGGTACCAAGTGAAATAAACGTTTAGACTGAACTTTTTGAGCAATTTTAGAAAATACGAAAAGAGGTTTTTGGCCAACATGTCGAAATTTTGAATATGAAGACCTCATAAAAGTGGTTTCAGAGGTTGCTTTGGATAGAAAGAAACATTTTGATTCAATATCATAACATAATAAATGTTCAGTACTTTTGCACTTTACAATCCTAATATGGAACCTGAGTTTCAAGGCATCTATTAGACCTGGCTCATATCATAACATAATAAATGTTCAGTCCTTTTGCACTTTACAATCCTAATATGGAACCTGAGTTTCAAGGCATCTATTAGACCTGGCTCATCATAACATAATAAATGTTCAGTCCTTTTGCACTTTACAGTCCTAATATGGAACCTGAGTTTCAAGGCATCTATTAGACCTGGCTCATATCATAACATAATAAATGTTCAGTCCTTTTGCACTTTACAATCCTAATATGGAACCTGAGTTTCAAGGCATCTATTAGACCTGGCTCATCATCATAACATAATAAATGTTCAGTCCTTTTGCACTTTACAGTCCTAATATGGAACCTGAGTTTCAAGGCATCTATTAGACCTGGCTCATATCATAACATAATAAATGTTCAGTCCTTTTGCACTTTACAATCCTAATATGGAACCTGAGTTTCAAGGCATCTATTAGACCTGGCTCATCATCATAACATAATAAATGTTCAGTCCTTTTGCACTTTACAGTCCTAATATGGAACCTGAGTTTCAAGGCATCTATTAGACCTGGCTCATATCATAACATAATAAATGTTCAGTCCTTTTGCACTTTACAGTCCTAATATGGAACCTGAGTTTCAAGGCATCTATTAGACCTGGCTCATATCATAACATAATAAATGTTCAGTCCTTTTGCACTTTACAGTCCTAATATGGAACCTGAGTTTCAAGGCATCTATTAGACCTGGCTCATATGAGAATAATGATTTTACAATCAATCAATAAAAACCACTATTATTTCTACCCTCTTTCCTCTGCTCAATGCTACCAACGTTTTCTTTGAACGACGGCTCGGAGCCTCAGAGATTTCACTACTTACTGCAGACATTTTATGCAACCCATGCATCGTCAATGTCCAGACTAACGTTATTAAATATAGAATGCAATAAAATATCATTATGAACGATATAGAAGGCAATAAAATAGCATCATAAACGATAGTGCTATGACCTTCCACCTACTTTCTATACGCTTCAAGGGCATTTACCACTGTATTGCCTTATGAAAAGTGCATGAGTTTTCCAGCTGGCCCTACCAGCCAAAATTAATTTAAATCCAGAATCATAGTCTGTTCCAGATTGGACAAATTTTGATGATACTGGACTCGATCGATGGCTTCCTCCGCTAAAAAACAGAGTGATAACAGTGATCCACCCACACAAGGTGGCTCAATGGATTCTAGCCATAATCCAAGCAATCAACTATTTACTTACCAATCCTTTACCGATGCTCTCAAGGAACAGAAGAGACACAACTTTGAAGTTGTGCCGGATGTGGATAACAACACATTCAAACCTCTGAACACCTACTCAACATTCATTGAAGCTAAAGAACGCAATTCTATCGTCATCGACTGTGCTCAGTTCTTGGGCATGGAGTTCAAGGACACGACTCTCCTCAAGGTACTGCGAGAACAGTTTCCCAAATGCTTAGGTCTCAAGCCTAGGATCATTGGCAAAAACAGGAAGAAGGCCATTGAACTTGGGTTCTCAACTGAAAACCTCTGTCGCGACGCTCTCTTGAAGGAGTTCAAGGTCAATGGAAAAGTCATTGAAGTCAACAAGACTCTGAATCACACTGCAAACGTAATCAACATTGGTATCTCTGAGATCCCACTCATGGAAGAGGATGAATTGAAACCAGCCTTGATCAAGACATTTGAAAGATATGGCGATATCTTGAACATTGGTATCTCAAAGAGTGGAGACTCTGACTGGTTCACTGGAAGAGGATTTGCTACTCTTAATCGGGATAAATTAAAGGAGTCCACTTATGCAAACACCCTAACCCCTCAAGTTGAATTGGAAGGTTTCCCAGGCGCCCATCTGCACTTGGTATGGTCCCAGATGAAGCCTATCTGCACCGACTGCCACACGGACGAGCACGTTAGACTTGACTGCCCCAAGAGAAGAAGAAGACTCTGTCACCGTTGCAAGAGTCCTAACCACTTGATTGCGAAATGTCCTGTGGCCCCATGGAACAACAAATCAACGGAGAATAGCAATGAAACCAAATCAAGCAAGTCTACCCCTGGATCCAATGAGAATGAATTCCAGTTGGTGTCACGAAGAAATTCCAGCAGTAGAGAAGTCAACCTGCTTGATCTTGTGAAACAAGGTCAGCCACAACAACCAGCATCCCAAAACCAATTTGAAATATTAAATCACGAAGTGGAAATGGGAGAGGTCGAAGAGGTCGAAGAGTCCCAAGGAAATGAAGAAAACGACACTGAAAAGTCCACTTCACTAGACAAAGGTGTCAAAATGTCTCGCTCCTCAAGTGAACTAGCCAACAAGAAGCCGTTCAATGTTACCCCATCTGTCACACAATCTACTCCTCGCCTCGCCACCAGAAGTAACCAAACTTTGAAGCTCACTGACGTTGACAAGCTCACTCCATCGAAATCCAAGAGAAATCTGGATGATGCTATATCCCCAAATGGTCAACAGGAAACTGTCCCATTTTCAAAAAAAAAGAATACAAAAAAGAATGAATCAAGCACCAACGAAGCAGCCGGTTCTTCCAATACCTCTGGTAGCGGAAAGCCACCGCTAAATAAGTTGGATTAGAACTTGAGCCAGAAAAAAAAAAAGAAAAAAAAAAAAAGAAAAAAAATAATAATAATATATATAGAAAAAAAAATGAATAATAATACTAAACACCTAAACATCAAAGTAGGATCTCTTAACTGTAGAAACCTACATTTGAACACCAACCAACACACTACTGACACCTTTATTGGCCTGCTGAAAGACAAGAAATTAAATATACTACTGTGCCAAGAAACCAACATCCCTTCTCACTCTTTTGAAGAAGTAACAGACAACATGAAGATCAAATTCAACTACCACCAAGCAATATGGACCCAACATTGTGCCATAATCAATTTCAACAACTCACTTAACCTGGAAAAAATCAAAGAATCTAACGATGGTAGAATGATCCTGGCAAAACTCTCCATAGCCGACAACTCCATTCCACCAGTATACATTTTGAATCTGTACGCTCGCTCAGGTATATTTGCTGAAGAAACCTCACAACGCAATCAATTCTACAAGAGAACAGTAGAGATGTTGCTAACAATGCCTGAAATTATCCCTGACCTGATAATGGCGGGCGACTTTAACTATAGCTTTGACAGCTCATCAAACCACGCTACTAGGCGCATAGCAAAACCGAAACATCTCATCAACTTTGTAAAGGGGTATATGAATGACTGTATTAACACAAAAGGTGAAAAGTATACCTATACCTGTATTCAAAAGCGGCGAGAACGAGTTACCCTATCCACAATCGACTACATCTTTGCTGGCACCAACACTCACAAAAAGATGCACGACGGGGACGTGGAATTCTTCAGCGATGTATACACCGACCACGCTCTAATTACGATTACACTGACAGTGGAAATGAGCAACAATGGAAAAGGCATATGGAGAGCAAACCCACATCTGGCTAAAAACAAGAGATT